CTGGAGCCTGCCCAGCCCCCGCCGGGCCCGAGTCTTCTTTGCGCGTGTCCACGCACCCACCGCGGTGCTGCCCGCGGCCCGGTTGCTGCTGCCCGGGGCCTGGCTTCGGGTGACAGTTACCCCCTCTTGGAGGCGGATGTGTGGATGGGAGACGCTGTCCTACCCTGAAGTGCTACCGCACTGCTGTATCTGAAGGCAGACCAGACGGGATGGAGCCCCCGCCGGGCCCGAGTCTTCTTTGCGCGTGTCCACGCACCCACCGCGGTGCTGCCCGCGGCCCGGTTGCTGCTGCCCGGGGCCTGGCTTCGGGTGACAGTTACCCCCTCTTGGAGGCGGATGTGTGGATGGGAGACGCTGTCCTACCCTGAAGTGCTACCGCACTGCTGTATCTGAAGGCAGACCAGACGGGATGGAGGCTCTGCGCCCCCAGCCCTCCTGATATGTGTGACACTTTTGTTTGTGTGACATTATTTGGAGTTATTTGCCAAGATGTGCTTTGCTTCAGCTAAAGTAAGGTGTAAGTGTAGTTTATTACCAGACTTGACATTAATGCTTTGGTTTGCTCAATATATTCTGTTTGTGCAGACCACTGGGCTCATGGGACTAGCTGTGTCTGAGACTCCTCATGAGGTATGCATTTTTTTATATCTAATTGACATGGACTTCAAATCAGAGTATTCACTTGTTCTGCATGATTTTTCATGTATATGTTAAATGTCTTACGATCTTACAGGAAGAAGAGTTTAAAATCCAAAATTTGACCAGCTCTGAAACTTTCATTTTGATAAAGAATATTGGCTTTGGTCTAGGAAGACTTGTTCTTAAAAATAAAGGTGTTTTTTTTTGTTATATAAATATTTAAAAAAAAGACTTGATAGTTGCTTCTTAGAATTAAATTCCAAAATCACGTACAATAAGGTTTTGTGGTCCCCCATCTCCAGCAAACATGAAGTGGTAATGCTTTTTTATGTAGGAGCCTGAAGACGTGAAAAGAACTGTGTAACGTATCAGACGGCATGCAGTTACTTAGATCTGGTAGCTTGTAAATTTAATTACTATTTCACATGCACAGATTTTCCCACAACGTGTAATAGATTCTGCAGCCCCCTGTTAATGTTGCTGTTATGTTGGGAGTGGCAGGGCTGGATTGGTGTCTAGATTGTAAACTCTTTAGGGCAGGGACCCACAGTGCTAGGTTTATATAGAGTTTAGTGCAGTGGGGCCTTGGCCCAAGACTGGAGCACCTAAGACATTACTGTAATACAAATAATATATATCTTGATAATTCTCATTTGCATTCCTAAGGCAGTATTTGTCTAGTTCATCTAAGACAGAGGTCTCCAGTCTATGAGGTGCTCTCACCTTGGTGGTGCGGAGGAACATTCAGGGGTGGGATGCAGTGTTCCTCTAATATTTTCCATCCATGTGTAAAATACACTTTTATGTGCACCAAGGCATGTGTGACTGTGCAATACCAGCAGAAGCAAAAACCCAGCATTTGACTCTCTCCTGAGTGGCCACGTGAGCACTCAGCTTACCGAGAACACTGGTGGAAAGAGAGCATCACCAAGTCTTGCTCCTGGCTCCTCCTCCTTCCCCTCCCCTCTTACACCTGTCCATGTTGCACCTTCCTGGAGCTGCAACTCTGCTTCCAGCTGGCGTGGGGAGGAAAGATAAGGGTAATGGGGGGGGGGTGGGGAGGTAAAAATGTGGGGACCCACTGATATTGAACATAAGATTTTCAGCTAACAAATTTGAAAAGCACAGTTTAATACTGTACTTCTCTGAAATATTGACATTTTTCAACTATGCAATAATCCCACTAGGGAGAGATCACGCCATGCCACTACTACTTGGAAAGAGTTAGTCGTGTCTACAGTATGTCTGTTAAATATTGAATAATTCACTAGTCAAATAGTCGATGGAATTTTCCTTGACTAATCCATAGGCACTTCCGCATTCCTCCTTTGAAATATACAAGAGCCCCCACTCTGGCTCTTACACATTTCAAAGAAGGAATGTGGAACTCTGCGTGCAGCCCAGGGCCAGCGGGAAGTCCAGCTGACTCTGGGCTGCATCTGGGCATGCCAGCTTTAAAATGTACAAGAGTCCCCAGCGGGGGCGCTGGTGCATTTCAAAGCAGACCCCGCTGACCCCAAGCTCCATCTGATAGAGGCAGCAAGCGGATGAGGGGGGGAAATCGACTAGTCGGCTCAACTATCTAATAAGCATTTGCTTATTAGATAGTCAACTAGTCCTTAACATCCTTAATCTACAGGATTGTTTTACGACTTTAGGAGAGTAAATTTATTTCAGAACTTAATTTATAACAGTTTGGGGTCCTAAACCATAAACTCATCAGGGCTGCAATTAAACCCTTAATCTTAACATGCTATTTTCTTCTCTCATCCTGCTGTTGTGTTTATAATTCTGCTTATGCTCTTTTCCCTTAACCTTTCACATCCCTAGTGTGAAACTGGAATTAACTGGAGCAGCCCCAGCTGCTGTGAATTTTTTTGCTAACCCCTGACATTTCTTCAAAACATACTTTGGGTATTTATCCACAAACTTTTCTACAGATGAATGTAAATGAATTTCCCCTAATGTTGGCACCTGTTCCAGGTGCCCTTTTTAGTAAGTGTTGGGTGTGGGGGTGGCTATATCTTTTGGTTTTATTTGCTTTTTTACTTTAAAGCTTTGTGCTGGCTAACATCTGAGAAATTAAGGTGCAGATCTTGAGATCAGGTTAAAACATTCACAGCACAATTTGTGAAGAAAGTAGTTAAGATTACCAAGGTAGTTTTGTACTTTACAGATGAGTCCAAATAGAAAGTCCAAATTGAAATACATTCTGGCCCAAACTGAAGTCAGAATTCTGCAGTCATACCAAGCTATTTTATTGATATAGCTACTGTGAATTTGAATGCAGTAGTTTTCTGTATTTTACTTTGAGCTCATAGATTATTTAAATATTTCTGTTAACATTAATTTACTGTTTGCATGCATTCACATGTCTTCCAATCATTTCAGCACCTGAGGATACTGTATACAAAAATTCTTACTGCACTGCAGGACATCCCCAAAGATGCAGCATATAGGAAATACACTGAACAGATTGTAAATGAACGGTTTAACATGGTAAAAACAGTAAGTATAGAACAAATATTTTATATGCTTAGTTTGCACAATATTTTCCTTCTCACTTGATCTTCAAAGAGCATATAGAAGATGTGTTACAGAGAGATGATCAAGGTTACATATTGTTTTGTGATTACAGAAGCTATTATATTTTGTTTATTTAACTAGAAAACAGCAATTGTTTCTCATCACTGATTTCTGCTAAAAATAGAAAGTAGTTAGCTGAAGATTTGAAGACTCCCGGATATTTCTTTAAATTTGTAGGTAATATATACATATGCATGTTTATCAAATTAATTATTTTATCTCTTTACCATTCAACATTTTTGAAACAACCACTTCATTGGTAGGGTCAAATAGCTCATTCCAGTTTTGCATTCTTGCTTTTGTCTGTCTACAGTGACTTATTGAAAGGATGAGTATCTTATTTGTCCAGAAAGCTATGACCACACTTCCCTTCCACAGTTTGATACAGCAGAATGCTATTTTTTGCTTCTGTGTACATCTGAGTTGCAAGGAAATACACCCCCACAGTTATTTCTGTTTACATTTTCAGTGAGAAATTGAAAGAACGGTATAGGCATTGTTTTTCCTATATTGTAAAATAGGTCACCTTGATAACTCATTTGAAGGGGTACATTCAGAAAACTAGACACTGTTCAATTGTCAATTTTTTTAAGTTCTGCACTTGACATTTTTAAAAACCTAAACACTTATTTTTACCTGTATTCACAGGAACCTAATGTGCAAAAACTAGAAGACAAACTGAAAAGTGGTCAGATAGAAGAAGTTATTAGACAGGTAAGTTGAATACTGTTTAAAACACCTTTGCTAAAAGAAAGCAACAAGATATGGTAGCTTTTAAAATGATGGGCATTAAGAGAGTATTAAATATATAATAAGCAGCATGTGTGTTCTAAATATTTTAATCACAGAAAAGTGAATGTCCTCTGCCTGATCCACGTACATGGAAATAACCAGTGCTTTTATCTATTTAAAGTTCAGTCCATGCACTGTATTAACCCTTGTATCTGCGAGGATGACTTCCAAAAGAGATTACATATTACTAACCACAGAAAGAAGCCTTTAGAGGAAGCGGAGGGTCTCTTGATAGTGTCAAAACAAGATTGGATGCCTTTGTGGAAAAGAGTCATTAGACAAACAAAACTATTGGGCATGGTGTGGTGATATGCAGGAGGTCAGACTAACTGATTTTGTGGTCTCGTTTAGCCTTAAACTCTGAATAAAAATGACATTTTATATCAAGCTTTGGTTCAAGTAAGGTCAAGAAAACTAAAAACTTCAAGATATGGCATAAACAGATCCTAATATTGAACATCAGATAATAAGTACTGAATAATAAAGATTGCATTTTTTTTAACTCTAAGACAGGAATGATGCAACTGAAAGGAAAAATTAGTAAGTTTAGCACTGATCCAACATTAACATACTATTCCCTTATCAACTCTTTCAACTACTTTCTCTAATAAAGATCCTTTGCACTGCAACATATTTGACATAGCTTATGTTGGTGAAAATCAGAGTACTTTATCTTATGGGAAATATGCATTAATAATTGTATTTTCTCATTTGCAAGCAGAATTCCTATTGAATGGGAATTGTGTGTATTTAGGACTAAATATTTTCAGGTGTGGGAAATCCTACTCCAGAAATAGCAGTTTGACATAAAAACGCTGAATACTTAGTTCATTGATTTGTCATAAAGGCAACTTGAAATTATATATATTTTTTAAATTAACTAGTTACAGGGTTGTTGAATGTCTAAACAGTGTTACTAAACTGTGTTCTCATTCAATGGACTGTAAAACTCTCCTGACCTCTGGGTCTGTTGAAGCTGCAGAGAAGCAGTCCTTTCTTGCTTAATTCTTAGGGAGGATTTGAGTCAAAGTTGTGAAATTCTTGAATTGTTCAACATTAGGACACAAAGTAATTGTATAACTGTTATCCTTTTGATGGTATATTTGAATAAAACTGTGAGATACAGTAATAAAATACATTTGTTTAACCACCCCTAACCAACTGTGGGGCCATCACAGCCAAGATACCCACACCCCTGTCTTCTAAAGCAGGCCTGAACAAAATCTGGCCTGCAGAGGCAGCAGGGAGCTCAGGCAGGCTTCTCAGCTTGCCCTGCAGCCTTGCACGCTATGCAGAAATGTGGCTGGCCGGGCTCCATTTCTGTTTTAAAACTGAAGAGGAGGGGGGAAGTTTTAGGATCTGCCCTTCCCCTGCCACATTCCCATTGGCCGGTTTCTGCCAGAAACCGGCCAATGGGAGTTGCTTGTTGGAATAACAGGCAGCTAAGAAGAATCACACCCCCTCTCCTTGGCTTAATTATTCATGAAGCACATGGCCGGGCAGGCTGGCTGGGAAACATTTTCAACTGGGCAAGCAGGCTAGTTTGGCAGCTGGCAAGTAAGTATCCTGGTGACAGCCTGCTTCTGGCACCCCTGCCCTTTCTTGTCCCAACTCTCTGCAACTGTCCCCCCTCCACCCCCACTCAACATATTCAAACTTTCTGTTCCCCTCTTACACTCCTCCCAGATCTGACACCCCAGTAGATCATTTACACATTGGACCAATGTGGACCCAGAGGGGAAGACCAGGTCAACAAGGTCTTTGGCTAATGCTTGGGAAAAGTAAGACGGGCTTTCTGTGTACCCCTTGGGAAGCATACTGCTGCTCCTTGTAAGAAAAGGCAAAAAGATACTGGGACTTAGGGTGAACCGGGACAGAAAAGAAAGCAGAACACAGATCAACATCAGTAAAATGAGTTGCATCTGGCAGGATAGAAGCCAGATTAGTTGCTGGGTTAGGGATTACAGGAAAGGTGGGTACAACAATGCAGTTAATAGCTTGAAGATCCTGAACAAACCACCATGATTTACCATCAGCTTTTCGAACTGGGAGGAGGATAGGGGTGTTACAGGGGCTGGAACAGGGGACAATAATGCCTTGTTCCCACAGGGTGGATATGACCGGAGCTGAAACCTTTAAATCCCAAAAACCCGGTGCCACGACCCTTTCTCTGACCTTATCCCCATTCTTGGTACCCTCCCCGTTCCCAGTACTGTCTGCCCTGCCCTGAATAATGCTGTATTTGCAGAGCTATCAACTTTTGTGAGGACTGCTTCTCTTTCTTTTTAGAGTGCAGTGGCAATGTTCTGCCACTGCTTGCAATTTGTCCATGGTCTTGGCCTCCCATCCAACACTTATTTGCTTTAACATGCTGCTAATAGCAGATAAGAGGCTATTAATAAACGCATGCACCAGGGCACCCTGTCCATTTTTACCTGGTTGCTGTACCCCAAAAACCCCAAAAAAACCAACCAAACAAACAAAAAAACCATCAGTCAGTCTGTGTGATAGTTGCCCGGGTTTTTTTCTTTGTTGCTGTTTACGGGGTTATAAGTAGTTTACACAGTTGCAGGAGGTCTGCTTCAGAGGGTTCATAGGCATTGCACACTAGCAAAATTCCTCTGCAAATTTGGTAGGGTTTTCCTGGGGCTTTGGAAAACCTTTTACAATCGAGTGGAGCTCCGTGTGGGTCCAGAGTTTATAGCTTCAAGTGGGACCGGTCTGAGTCTTCTTGGAGGACGGGGTAAAGGGAAGCGCTCGGTCTGGTGGTGGGAGAGGAGGTTTCCAATAAAGCTTTTTCTTATAATTAGAATTTTTAAGGGAGGCGAGCTTCGATTCAGTTCATTTAAGATTTGCCTCGTCCCACCACTGCATGAAGCAATCTACCTCTCCTCTAGCCAATTTAGTTTTGGGAAGGCCAAGTTTGTCTTTTAAGACGTCCACTTGGTCTTTGTTCCAAGATCCTAACAGTGGCCACTGAGTTTTGGGATCCCCCCAGAGTTAATCTAGATCATTTTTCCAGAAATTTACAGGAGTCCGGACCCTTTCTAAAATATATAAACTGAGCCAGGGTCCCTTTAGGGAACTATCCCTGCTTAGATGTCTAGTTACCCATACAGGAGGACTTCATACACCAATCACACAAGGAGGAAATTCGGGTTCGTCAGAGCGGTGCCCAGTGCAACACACAAAAGAAGCCCACAGGCTACTGCCTCAATCGCCCTTGCGTTCACTCCAAGGATTTTATCCAAGGTGCGGTGCAGATTCCAGGGGCCAATTGCGGCCCGTGTTCCGGTTTAATACGGCCCCACGGGTAATTTGGCAATATCTATCTTTTATGGCCCCCAACAAATCCATATGTATTGAGATGAATACATTGTAAAATCTCAGTTAATGTTAGTTGGTCTAAATCAGTTATAAATATATTTGACACAACATGTATACTTGGTGTAATGTTCCTGTTCATATTTTTTGAACTTAAAAGTTGACAGACAACCTTTATTACCAATAATATATAATGTACTTTACAATGTTCCTGACATATATTTCAGCTTCCTGGATTTTTTTTTCATCTGGCCTTCAGATATGAAAGGCAGAGTGATTTAATAGCTGTTTAGATTTGTCATCTGTCAAAGTCAGACAGGACTCACAGATTTGGCAGACTGCTCTGTTTATTTCAGCAAAGCTTTGCTAAAATGCATTCAGAAAATGTGAGTACCATACAAGGTTCAAACCCCTTGATTTTATACAGTCAAAAGGCCAAGTTAACAAGATCAAAGGGTGTGGCAAAACTTCACATTATTAGTGTGGTTAAGTATCTTCATTTCAATATCAAGCACACAGCAATCTCCTGGCTATATCTCCCCGATTATCTAGAATTGCCTAATGTTTCTCTTCCTGTTAAACTCAGGCCCAAATTGGCTAGCACCTTGATCTGCATACCTACAATCAACATTAACATACTTTTCTTCTTCCTCTTAAAAGACAAACAGAATTCCTTCAACTTATTCAATTATTACAGTACAATTCATCTTTCTCTTACAGTATAATTCTTTCTACTTTCACAATCCCAACTCCCTCCCAGACTCCAAGCTCCCTTCTGCACCTAACCTCCATTCCGGACCCCGCATCTCCTCCATTGATATCATGGAAAAGTGAGGGCCTCGACCACTTTTCAAAATCTTGGCATCTCCCCCCCTCCCCCGTCAAATTATTGTCCACACCTACACTACAGCACAGTTGTGGGGAGGGTCTCACCACATACATAAACACAACCCTTGTCCATCAGAGCCCAGCTGCAGAGTCTACCACCTCAGACACACTTGCAACTCCTCCCCCAAATCCCAGCTGTTCCCCCTTCTCCGTGGCCCCACAAAGTATCCCTAAGTCTCCAGAGCCTAGGAATCCAGAGGGAGAAGAGTTCCGAGCTTGTCTGGAGTTTCCTGCATCCCATCTCCTGTAAGGGCGGGCTAGGAACTGCAGCTGCTGGGATCCCTCAAAGTTTTTAATAGCAGCTCGCTGTTCTGCAGCCCAGTTCTGTAGTAGGAAAAAGAAAATTCTGCACTCTCAATGTTTAATTTTCGCACCTTTTTTGGGTAAAGGGCCACCGACCAACAGAAAATTTAGTTGTGAAGAACACACCAATGAGAAGGAAAAAAACAACCCACTGTCCTGGACCTAAACTGAGAAGCAGGGTTACCAGGGCTCTGCTTGCACTCCAGACTTGGAGGAGAGGTGCTGAGGCTGACTTGCTGCAGGACTGGAATGTCAGCACTAGCTCACCCTGTTGCAGCTTGAAGTCCTGAGATCTGCCAAGGACAAGGCTGTATTAACTCTTGGGGCCTGGAGATTTTATGGCCCTTCCCCACCTCCCAGGCTCCAGAGTAGGGCCAAAAATGAGGGGTTCAATGTATGGGAGGGGGCTGCATGTTGAGGCAGGTGTTGGTGAGGTCTCCACTTGGGCTATGGGGTAGAGCTTGGAATGAGTTGCTTGGGGTTCAGGAGTGGGCTCCAGGCTGGGGCCAAAGAGTGGGCTCAAGGCAGAAGGTTGGGGATTGGGATGTGAGACTGGAGAGAGGGTTCTGCTGCTGCTTTTTTCGGGGGGGGGGGGGGGCTGCAGTTCCCATTGGCCGGGAATCATGGACAATGGGAGCTGAGGGGCAGCACCTGCAGGCAAGTGCAGCTCAGGGGACAGCTTCTATTGGCGCTCATGGCAATGCAGCTCCAATCTGGGGAGGCAGAGGAATGGCAGCGTATGGGGCTGCCTTCCCCCTCCAGAAAGGGCTTGCCTGGAACATAAGGGCTGTGACTACATTGGCGTGATCTTGTGCCAAAGTGGTCGCTTTTGCGTAAAAACATGCTGCCTGTCTACACTGGCGAGGAATTCTTGCACAAGAACACTGACATTCTAATGTGTGAAATAGTTCTTGCGCAAGACGCACTATGATGCTTCCGCTCAGGAATAAGCCCTCTTGCGCAACTGTACTTGTGCAAGAAAGCCCTATGACTAAAATGGCCATCGGAGCTTTCTTGCTCAGGAGAGCGTCTACACTGGCATGGATGTTCTTGTGCAAAAGCACATCTCTTGCGCAAAGGCACATGCCAGTGTAGATGCTCTCTTCTGGAAGACTTTTTGCACAAGAACTCTTCCGCAAAAGAGTTCTTGTGCAAAATCATGCCAGTGTAGATGTAGCCAAGGGCTTTAGTGGCTACAGCCCAGGGCCCTGAGCCAAGAGGGGTCCCAATCACTTGCTTAGCTGAACAATGTTAGTGCTCATGTACTCCTGTTGAGACCAGAGAGGAAAAGCGTGGTGCTTGAACAACTTTTCCTGCTTGTTATGTTCTTAGACTGCATGAGCATGATCGGAGAGGGAGGAAAGACTGGTGGGTGGGTAGTTTAAGAAGAGCTGTCAGTCATTCTTGTTTTTCAGTTAGGAAGCACATTCCCAGTGTGGTTGGGAGTATGGGTCTTTGCTGACTCCCTCTTATGCAGAGGTGGGCAAGAGGCAGTTAGTGGGCCAGATCCTGCCTGCAGCCTCCTCACCAGAATCCTTACTACACAGCAGTTCATGTTGCTTTAAACAGCTAGCTGCAAATTGCTCTAAATGCTGGGAGGGATGGGGTTGCTTCACGTGCTGTCTCTGCCTCCTAGCAAAATCTATCAGGTCCCATTTGCCAGTTTCCAGAAGGAAGCCGCCTTCTTCCCTCACTCCCCCTTCCCTGTCGTGGAACAGAGCCACATGGAGCAGCTAGTCCAGCAGCCAGGCATGGAGCCATTATCAGATTCCTGCAGGGCTGCTGGATGGGAGCTGCCTAGGTAAGTGCCTCCTAGCCAGAGCCTGCCTCTGACACCCCACCTCTTCACCCCCCCAACTTTCTGTCCCAGGTCACAACCCAAACTATCTGCACCTCCTTTCCCCAGGTAACAACTCCCTCCCAGACTTTGTACCTTCTCCTATACCCCTCCCCTAAGACAGAATCCTCCCCTGCCCAAGATCATAACCTCCTCCTTCACTCAAACTTCTTTTCAGATACCACATCCCCAATGCACCCCTGCTCTCTTCTATACCCCATCTGCTGTCTCAGACCCAGCACCCCTGCCACAGAAGTGTGGCTCTTGACGATTTACCAAAATCTTAATCCCACTAATCCCCCGATTTTAATAATTATTGCCCACCCCTGCTCTTATGGGTGCCAGCCAGAGATAGGATAGGTTACAGAGCATCCCTTGGAGCCTGGAATTTCTTTGAATTATTTTCTTACATATGTGGGTTGAGTCGCCCTTGTGGTTACATGGAGCTAAGACATTTCTGCCCTTGGAATGTTCTTGAACTCCTTTTAGGCAATCTGATTCATAGTTTGGGAACCAGTATGTTGTAATATCACTTGGAGTGGGCGTTGACTAATCTGAGCTAGGGTTGGCAGGATTTGTAACGAATGTTTGTAGTGAATGATCTCATTTGTGTTATATGGAGTTATATAACATGATTCTACAATTTCTTTTAATTGTAAATCAAGTCTTAATTCTGCACCTGATTAATCTTCTTTCTGCAAATGGATAGTAAGCTCTTTATGGCAAAAGCACTCTTTGTGTAGCAGTTATCTTGGAGCCCTCTAGCAATTACTGCAATACAAATAGGAATTTACATTTTATGCTTGCTGTGATGGATTTCATCGTGTGTGTGTGTGTGTGTGTGTGTGTGTGTGTGTGTGTGTGTTCTCTCGTTCCACTCAATCTGCCTGCTTGTCCTCTAGGGCGCCCCACTACCCTGTCATGCTGGGCCAGAAGCTCTTATCTCCCCTAGCCAAAGCACAAAGCTGCAGTAACAACCGCTTAGGAGAGCTGAACAAATTCCATTCTGAGAGGGCTCAGCTATAAGACTGTGGTGATCCAGGAACACAGCCCTGAATAAATCCATCTTACTCTTTATAAAAGTTTTCCACAGCTCATGAGATCAGCCCTGTTTATTAATGAAGGGAAGATCTGCATGGTGGTTACCTCTGTCAGGTAACAATTACTTATATTGAGCTTGATAATATTTTATTCAGTATAAAAAGGTAGATTGTAAGTGACTGAAGGTGACAACAGGCACACCAAAATAAACACAACATGCCAGCTAATACACTTAAGAAAATTGTTACATTCAAATTCTTACCCTAACAGTTCTAATATTTTTCACAAACTAGACAGCCTCCTAACTTGAGCCAAGTCCTTCCAATTGTTCAGTCTTAGATGTTTCCAGCAGCATCTTGGATGGTAAGAAGGGGATTCCTGGTCTACGTCTACACTGCAGAGTTTTTATGCAAAAGCTCATGGAGCGTCCACACTACAAGGCTACGTCTAGACTGGCATGATTTTGCAGAACTACTTTTAACAGAAAAGTTTTTCCGTTAAAAGTATTTCCGCAAAAGAGCGTCTAGATTGGCACAGAGGCTTTTGCGCAAAGGCATCCGTGCCAATCTAGATGCGCTTTTGCTCAAGAAAGCTCCGATGGCCATTTTAGCCATCGGGCTTTCTTGCGCAAAAAATTAAGGTGCCTGTCTACACTGGCCCTCTTGCGCAAGTATTCTTGCGCAAGAGGGCTTATCCCTGAGCGGGAGCATGAAAGTATTTGCGCAAGAAGCACTGATTTTGTACATTACAAAGTCAGTGTTCTTGTGCAAGTTCAAGCAGCCAGTGTAGACAGCTGGCAAGTTTTTGTGCAAAAGTAACCGCTTTTGCGCAACATCTTGCCAGTCTAGACTCACCCTAAGTGTGTTTTTGCACAAGTTATTTCTCTTTCTATGAGGAATAAGTCTTTTTGCACAAGAGCTCTTGCACAAACAGCAATGTGTGGATGGACAACGGGTTTCTTGCGCAAGAAACCCCTATCAGAAAAAGCACAGGTGCTCTGCTATTCACAGAATGGCCAATCAGAGCTTTCTTGTGCAAGAGAGTTCATGACAGTGTGGATGCTTTCTTGCGCAAAAGCACATGGCCGTGTGGATGCGCTCTTGCACAAGAAATCTTCTGCAAAAAGTTCTTGCACAAGAAGCCTGCAGTGTAGATGTAGCTTTGGTGTCTGGCCATTTGGTTTCTTGCTTTTAAAATCCCTTTTTCCCAAGGTAGAAATTCTTTGTGTGCAGTTCAAACTTTTCTCACCTTGAATGGGAAAGTACAAGACCCAAAATGGGTTCCAGCATTAGGTGACTGGGGCACATATCTTTGTAGGACCAACTGTAGCTTGAGCTTACAGGAAAAACAAACCCATTTAGTGTCTTGAGTACTGGGCCTTTGTCTCCAGAGTATTACCCTGGCCCTCACTAGCACATCTAGAATTATAAACAGATTCACACTTCATATTTCTAACTTTACATAAGAATGATACATGCACAAAATATACACATTATGTTGCAACTTTTAAAATGTCACGTGATGCATTTTGCCTAAAGTATCTTAAGCCAGTTTTCATAACACATGGAGAGATTGTGACACTTGCATTTAAAACAAGTTGAATTGCTGCTATTCTGGTTTTAGTCAGTTTTTTCCTCACTCATGTTCAACTAATCAAATTATTAATCTGCAAATTAAAGCTAGAAAATAAGAGGTTATGTCCCAACTAAGGAACTCTTGTAAGAATGTATTGCTCATGACATAATTGTAGCTATAGGTTAAGTAGAGATGCAAATTTCCACAATTTCTAAATATACCTGCAGTGCTGTTTCACATACTCCTGTAAATTTGAACTCTTACCATGATTAGAGTGGGCTTCATGTCTGAAGTCAGTGAGAATAAAATGTATGGCTTTGCATTGTGATCTGTAGCCCAATGACTAAATTGCTTGTAAATCACTCTAGATGGAACTTTGGCATCTGAATGCTTTTTAAATTCATAAGCAGTGTTCTCCAATTATAGATTAGTCAGTATCTCAAAATACAAAATATTTTAATTATATTTTATGTTTTCATCAACAGGCTGAAAGTGAGCTCTCTCTAGCAAGAAAAATGGCCCAATGGAAACCATGGGAACCATTAGTTGAAGAACCTCCTACTGACCAATGGCGATGGCCAGTGTAATAGTTTTATGTCTAACTATTTGAGAACTGAAAAAAACCCTTAATTATTGATATCATGTTAATAAAAATGTCTTTAAAGAAAATGGCTTATGTGTATAATTTATTTTGCTTCAATAGCTATTTAAATGTAGCAGGATGTAAAAGTCCAGTCTGACTTGGGCTTTACTAAAACTTTGTTTAGCTGTTACTCTGATTTTTTTTCCCTAGCTTGCTGATTTAATTAACAATATATTAAGTAGAAACTTTCTTCTTATTCTTTTCTGATTCATCTAATTTTCACATACCACTTCTTGACACTTAATTACCATGGATGTCATTTCACATCTCAGACTGTGGTTTAACCAAAAAGAGGAAGGGGAGAACTACATTTTACACACAGTTGATGAGCCACAGTGAGATAAATACAGATGAAACTGTGTGTTTGATACTTTTGACTAAAAATGGCACATTTGCAAAGCCATTCTGGGGGAGAAAAAGCTAAGAATGATGTCTGCAAACAAAACTATATACAGGCAGTCCCTGACTTACGCGGATCCGACTTATGTCGGATCCGCACTTACGAACGGGGCTTTTCTCGCCCCAGAGCTCACGGGCGGCGGGTCGCCACCCATGTCTTCCGGGGCAAGAAAAGCTTCTCCCGGTCTCCCTGGTCTGCTGGGGGGGTCCAGCAAAGCCGCTGGACCCCCCGCCCCCCAGCAGACCAGGGACACCTGAGCAAAGCCGCCACCTGGGCGGCTTGGCTCGTTTGCCCAGGAG